TGACCCTGTGCCCAGCCCACTGTGATCCGAAACAACCTTCTTTAGATTGAGGTATTTGAACAACAGCATGCGCTACGTGAAGGCGGTGCTGCATTTTTCCATTTCTACAGTCTTATGGTAAGAGTCAACTCCCGTAGAAAAGGAGATATTTGGTCCTCGTAGCTCGAGAGGAGACTCAACGGTTGACACAGCCTTTACTTAACTGTCGATGATATCCAGTCTTCTCTATATGTATTCTCAGATCGAGCCGAAAGCGTGGCGCATTCGGAGCGGGAAGATTATCAGTGTTTCTATTTAGTCTGTATTCAAGTAAGACCTTTGAGTTTTTCTGGAACCATGCACTTTTTCATGACTGACAGCTCAATCTTTTGGGGTGTGTTACAATGCCATTACTATGTCGAATTAAGTCGCCATTCGAATATAAACTTAGAAAAAGTGTGCGGTCTTATGGTTAGAATTAAAACCTACTGCATTTTGTAGACTCTATACTCAGCTATTACTTATTTCAAAGGGGAGAGGAGTTTCCATTTTATAGAATAACAGAATGTTCAAGCAATGAAGTGCTTTTTCGAGAGCTCTTTTTTTCACCAATTAGAAGAGGCCGTCGCTATTGAGTGTTTTCTGACAATTGAAGTGAATGAATTTAACCCTAGCAGAAGCACAGAGGAGGGCCTCAACGACTCGGAAGTAGAGATTTTGACTTGAAACCCAAAGAATGGCCATATAGACTAAAAAGCTGGAACAAAAAGGCAGCCTTGCATTGAAAGTTGCTAAATCCAAACGAAAGCGTCGTTATGGAAGTCAGTTCGGCAATATGATATATGAGTCTGAGAGAACCATAAATAGCAAAAATAAACCACCTGTTTGGGTTCCTCTTGGCTATGCAGGGCCATATTTTGATCATTTAAATCATCCTGGATGGAAAGTTTAAGGTTTCTAGACGAGCTTACGTTGCATGTGATCGAGTGCACTTTGCATGTTTCTTAGTGACAATTGATGCAATCGACCAATCTGATGTGTGCTTTCGAAGTTACGAAGAAATGCAAAAATGGACCGAAAACTGCATCGCCTCAGAAATGAGGATTTCTTGTGGTGTGGGAACGGCAATAAACTAGAAAGATATAGGCGCTTATCGTAAGATACGGGAGCGTGCACTAATAGTAGCGTGCACTAATAAGACTAAGCTCAGAAAGCGGCTCGAAATTCGGAAGAAATGAAAACGCACTCTGGAGTCTCTCCTCCCGCCTAATTAAGAAAGAAAAACCATTACAAACAAATTAATTGATACGGTTTTGCTCCTTTAATTTTTAATTGCTCCTCGGTTCCGTTCGAAAAACAACAGATGGCTTCTGCAGTTTCAGATACACTGCCGCCACAGTGTCCCCTCATCCTGCGATAGCGCCAAAGATATGTGGCTTGTTTATGGCTAACAAACAGCAATACAATACTTAATTAATGTACCTGTTCGTTTTATTACTATGTAATACATATGCCTTTTGCACCACAAGGCGGTACGAAGTAGTGCACACCCTTTGTTTGTAGTACAATTCTAGGAATAACTCAAATAAAGAGGAAAACTATTCGGAATTAGTTTTCGTTCTGTAAATTATGCAGGGGGTGGCGGCAAAGGAGGAATCACTCTCCTCATAATTCATAGTAAAATTAATTACACTGTCACTAAACTGAAGGCGGACGCTCTTAATTGCATATTGAAGAGCACATTCTAGTCTATCAAAAAACTTCATAGAGCCTTCTACACCGACGACATCAGAAGATTTTCCCACGGAAACATGGTGCTCAGTCTGAGCTCAACGAAGTCTCCAAGGGATCGTGGACCACAGCGACGTTATCTTGGACGTAGGTCAGATCTTGCATATTCAGAGCTACTGTCTCTAGAAAGCTACCACCAGTTAACCGATTGAAGAAATTATGTAGCAGCTTCAGAATGGGAGCGATTACGGTAGGCCTCGTTGAGCTCGACGGTGATGGCAGATGACGTCATATTCTGGAGACGGTGAGGGCAGTGAAGGAGGGCCTGCTTCTGCTTTACGGGGGAACACCTAAGGAATATTTTGCCGTAAAACTTTCATTAACAGCGGCACCCTGTGCGACGACAAGTTTGATGACGTGCGCTTTGAGCAGGGTGATTTTTTTGCTCCCCCTCCCTTGCATAGGTCTCTTTGTATTGTAATATAGTTGCTTTAATGCCTTCTGTAACGCTCTAGAATCGATTAGGCACCTCATAAAATTTTCTGATCAATAGAATTCATTTGAAATGATAGAACTTGATTCGATTCAGCTGATGCGATGTTGATAATGGCTAAGTCGGCTAAAGTTTGAGCGATTTCGCCCTATTCGAAGGGTTGAATCAGATAAAGTTATAATACAATCCAATCCAGGTTCATCGAAAGTACAACTTAGCGATTATTCACATTATTCTCGCTCCCGCTTCAGTTACAGACGCGATAATAGACCACAGCCAATTCAAGCCAACTCTTCATAAGCTCCTTCGGTTTGTAGGCCCAATAGTATTCGCTCGGTAAAGTGACACGATTTAGTGACTTCTCTATCTTAATCATAAAAGTTATTAAGTCCTCCATCATTGAAGTGCTGGATGGGGCCCAAGCATTACTTGTCCTGGATGACCATAAAGGTTGTAATTATATCCAATAGGCGCAGATATATTATATCCAAGATATCGGTATATATCTTAGGATGAGATACGATGCCGAAGGTACTTCGACAATGCCTGTCGATATCAATCATTGGATCACTTGTGTGAGGTAAATGACAGCAAATCAGAGGAAGTACCGCGCATCCTCCAAACCTGTCGCGGGTACCCTTAATGTTGCGGAAAAGCATCGAGGGTCATGAATCCAGAATGTTCCGATTTTTCACGCACGTCCTGACATTAAAAGTAAGGAATCATACAAATATTGGTTTTCCTTTAGGGCCCTAATGTGTCGTGTTAGATTTTTGAATCCTATATCAATACTCCCGTCCCTACGATTATACAGCTCTGAAGCAGGGTCAACCCTATGTTGCTACAAGTAGCAACGGGGGGTCGTATTTTGATGAGTTTGTAGGGGGGTCGTACTTGCTTCGGTTGTAAGAAGTTGCATGTGATGAGTGGGGAGCGGCGCGGGAGAAAATTTGCCGTTTCAGCGCGCGTATATATCCCCCCTAGAAAATGGAGCAGTTGAAATATGGGTAAAACATAGGGAAATTGTAAGGAAATGTAGGGAATTTTTGCGGTTTTAAGGGAAGTATATACCTCCCCCCCCGCTCGACGGTAATTTTTTGGGGTAAAAATTGGTCGGAAAGGGGGGGGGGGTCGTAGGAAACTTTTCCTGAAGGAGGGGGGTCGTAAAAACTTTTCGAAAAGTAGCAACGATAGGACTGACCCTGCTCTGAAGTTCTATGGCTTAACACCACCATTAATACAAACTTTTTTGGTGGCGAAAGTACTCATGAACTATTCGAAACGAGGCTAGGCCGAATCAAACACCCAGCTAGAGAAAGAAAAATTTGATAAGCAAAATAAATAAATGCTCCTTTCGCTATTCCCTCAGAAGACCCTTATTATTTCGCAATCCTCGTCAATGAGTTTGGACCTGGTGAAATAAAGGCGCAGGGGAAAACTAAAACCCCTAAACTCAACATGAAAATTGATCATGCGAAGCAATGTAATTTAATATATTGCATATAGATTTAAATAAATAGATAGCGTATATAATAGAATGAACTATGTAAAAACCAAATTTAAACAGTCAGACAAGCATTCAGATCCACTATGCAAATCTGATTGAAAGTTGACTTGCGCTCCAGGGATTGACGAAATGCTAAGGTCCGTCCGAGGAAGGAGCGAAACAAGCCGTGTTTATTATTACTGGTTATTACGTGTTCATTATTACTCTTGTTTATAATGTTTTTTTTTTCTTTCTAGTTGAGGCTCCTTAGTAAGAAGAGGACTGAACAGATCAGCGCTTAATTAAATTCCATGTCTAATATCAGGTGCGGAGCACAAGGAAACAGCAAAAGGTCTATAGGTAAGAGGACATGATAGAAGCATCAGAAAGACTTATTTAACCTTAAAATCAAAAAACGTACTGTACTCCGTCAACCTAGCCCTACTGAAAACGTTTATAAAAACAAAAAAATGAAAACAATTCGTGAAAAATAATGGGGTGCACTGAAATTGAAATATTGACTGGTGGACGATGTGGAACTGAATGAACTTGCAACTGGTTGTTTATTAGTTGAAGATATTTCCTCTTATTTGTTTTTTGATAATATCGTGAGATTCAAGCGTAAAGTTACAAGCTTTAAACTTCGGTCTGAAGACGACGAGTGGTTTCGAACACAACGACCTAATAAAGAAGGATTCCAATCTTAAAAAATCTATGAGGTTACCAGAGAAAAATATAGCAAAAAAAAGGGTTATATCATTTGCCCGTGTGGCGCAGTTCAAATCTACTAGGCAATTGTTGCACTCTATTGTTCCTCGCAATGACGAGGAACAAGCGATGAGAATTCAAGTGGTTCTCCTTCCAGATGAGGTTTATAGCAATCAACTGGCTTCGGGGTGGCTTTACATGTCACTACACCTGCTCTGCTCAAACTTTTAGAAACGGCTGGGCGATTCATTATTAGGCTTTGGTCATTATTTCAATGCAGCCTCATAAAATTTCTGTTTACAATAGTGCATAGAAGCCTAGAAGCTGCAGGACGCTCCACTGAGGATGATTGAAATAATCGACTTTGATTTAAACTTCTCAGAAAAATTCCTGACTACCATCCAACCGAAAGCAAATATGGTCTTAATAATGGCTCGCGCGGGAAGTTTAAGTCTATCGTTTCCCTCATAGGCAACAAGAACACTACATGGATTGAGAAAAAGCTCTGGCCGTGTAGGCTGCATTCGATTTGTGTTGGAACAGTGCTTTTAGTCACAGATATTGTTCGTTTTGGCCGCCACCATATCACTGTTTCATTGACTTATGACTTCTGTAAGGCGCAGGCCTATAAAAAGGAACGCGATGACACGATATAGCCTAGACAGATATAACCTACACATTTGTTTATTGTCGACCTAGCAGAAAAGTGTAGGTGCGAAAAGAACCCCAGGTCAGAAAGGGCGGAGCTTCCCGCCAAAGTGGGCGGTGTCTCCCGCGCGTTCGCCATGGCAGCGGTGTATAAAAGGTCGCAAAGGTGAGCTATCCACACAGTATCTACCTGTTTGTAGCCGCTTTCAAATCTTCAACTAACATGGCCTCAATGGGATCTCGCGGTGGTGGTCACTCAGTCTACGGTGAGTCGCTTTCCCATAAGCTAATTCATTTATAGAACACTCTGTGCAAAACCTTATTTGAACTGTCCATTTCAGTTGGAAATCTCCCCTATCAGACCAGCGAGGAAGCCATCGGGAATCCACTTCAGCCGAGCCGGCCAAGTAACCAATGTCAGGTAAGTCCAGTGGTGCTTTGATGACTTCCCAGATCTTATGTGGCATGTTCAGGATCGTCTATGACCGCGAAACTGGTCGCATGAAGGGCTTCGGATTCTGTGAGTTCTCTGACGAGGCTGGAGCCAACAACGCCGTGAACACCCTCAACGGATCGGATTTCGATGGCCGACAACTTCGAGTGAATCTGGCCAACAGAAACTGAAAACCAGTCCGCACTTCGCCTTCATAGATGCATTCATAGAGATTTCGAACTGAATGATCCATTTATCGCTTCCATTGTACAGGCCTTTAATAAAACATGCGGCTCAATCTTGTTTGAAGACAAACTGCGTAAAAGGTGAAGGGTAAAGGTCAAATTTCCGCGTAAACGATTCACAAGAATAATACAGGATGGTGTTCCAATGAAGTATCGAGTTATCCTAAAAGCTCTTTAAATAGATAGAAGGTACTTATCGGTCATTTAGAGCTAGCTTCTCGGAGTTTCGACTAGAAAGTAAGCGAGGAAATTCCAGATGAACTAACTCTATGAAGGTTAAGAGGCCATAAAGGACATTCAACACTTGAATAAAGGCGAAAAGCGGTCATTACCTGAGCTTAAAATAACGTATTATCTAGAAATGAGAAATCAAACGGGCATTGTCAAATGCGACACTAAATATAGAGGAATCGCCTTCGCATCTAGAAAGCACTACAAAGTCCTTTTACCATTTAGAGTTGTAGTGAAATGTAGTGGAATGGTAGGAATTAGTAGGATAAGGCGATCTGGCCTTCACATCGAATTGCGTGGGCTAGTTCTAGCACATTAGTATTTAATTTATTTATTTTACACGGGTTCACTATTCCTCCATATAAGTCTAATAACAGTTAGTCGATCCGGAGGGATGGAAAAATTGCTGGCATGGGACGGCGTAGAACAAGGATCTAGTCCCCATGCGCAGACTAAGCGGCGCCATTTACTTTTGTAGTATTTTGCCCTACTGGATGATAAATGTGTGTGGCTTTTATCCCACTCCGGAATTCAAGGAAGCGTTATTCACCCATGATGCATCCCTCCACAGCTCCCCCCCCC